AAATGCCAGCAATAAATTTGAGACATTTACTTGATAAAAATAAATCCAATTTGATTCATATCCTGACCAAAAAAAAATTGATCTGCTATTTATATGCATGACACAACTTCACAACAAAAAATTCTAATCAAATCCAAATTTACTTAAAATGGTCCCTTGCTAGAAAATAACTGCTACAACATTATTTAGTCTATCTAGAAAGTGAGTGCCAGAATGATTGGGATCAAGATTAGAAAGTGCTTCCAATCAGATTCCGAAAGCTACACGTTCTTTTCTTAACTATTATCTGAATAGATTGGAATTGTAAATCTCTTCTATCGGAAGCCCGATCAGCCACCATTTCAATGAAGGTGACGGAACCTACAGCTTGTCACTTAATCTGATATCCTCTACCCACATCTCTATGCACCAGCAGCACTTTTATATGGAGAAAGATGGCCTTATCATGCTCAATCAATAGTACCTAACCTATGTTGATTTTCACAGAACAGATGAAAAAATAATCACATGAAATAAGATACTAAGAAATTATTACCTATACATTAATCCTTCAAAAAATTTTAATTACGAATCCAACGCCATGAGAAGATCAAAGGGAAGAAGAGGAAAACTCTAGCCGATTATGGATAAGAAGGCGACTATCAAAAGAGCCACTCAAGTAACTCGACACGATGCTTTGGTAGATGAACTCGAGATGGGAGTTTGACACTAAACAAAGAAACAAAGCCAAAAGCTGCAACACAAGAACGACTCAAGAAGATGCTCGACAAAGACATGAAGTAGTGAAGTGGAAATTGTGACGCACAAATGGATGTGGATGATGCTGGACAAAGAACGAACATCAAACGCCTCGAGACATCGCGCCTTGAAGAGTGTGCCTCATTGCGAGAAGGCTCAAGCCTAGCCCGCACCAGTTAGGTCTAACCCTTGAGTTCACATGCATATCGATGTGATGCAAGGCTCAAGGCACACATCTCGATTGTTATTGAAATAAAAAAGCCAAATATAATGACTAGCATGTTATTTATTTTTACCATTAAGTTATTAAGGTTTACGATTGTTATATAACCGTTGACTTATATATTTATAACTCAACTATACTAACTGATAAAAGTTTTTCAAAAAATTTTATAGTTATATAGATGGATAAAGGAGTTCTTTAGGGCAAGTGAAAAGCCGATAATATTAGGTACCTGTATATTTTACTAGTCATAAGAATAGTATAGATGCTTTCCCTTTAAATAATATCATACGATATATTAAATATTATATAATGAATGTGAACATTGATTGATGAATAATTTTTTTTTATTAGGTGGCACTTTTGAGATATTAGAAGTCATGAAAATAGATAAATTTGGTTTTAAATTATTATAGTTATTTAGACGGTTAAGTTTCAAAAGTTTATCTAATCATTTGCTCCCGTTTTGATACCCTGGCTTCCTTTGAGATCTTTCTATCTTTCAGAGAAGCCTGCTTAAAAGGAACATTCGAAAAAGTTGTGTTATAAAGTTACGGTTGATAAAAGAAAATTAATGTTGAGTACAAAATCTTCTCTATACTTTTTAACACTATTAATTAAAACGTTGAAAGATAAAACACTATAATAAACCCCATCTATTCATATCAATTCTTCGCATCAATTAAAAAGTTCAATGGTAAATCAGATCGGGAATGACAGAAGGGTTCGCCGCCAAGGATGACAGGTTTTCTTACATAGAGAGTCAAATGGATGTAGGATTTGAAAGCATAGGAGAAATGTGAGACGATGATGAAGAAACTCATGGATGTAGAGTCCAAGGCCATGATGATCACTCAAATTTCAAACCCTAACCAAGGGAATATTTGGTCAGATCAAAAAAGAAGACAACGAGGAGGACATCATCTACCACCAAAAGCATCACCCCAGGACTCCAAGAGGAGCGGGAGTGGAGAATTCATATGGAGAGGGCTAGGCCGAAAATTAGAAGGATTCTGCAAGAGTCGCGGAATAGCATGAAGAAGGAAAGAGGGAGGAGGGAATCTGGAGTTGGGTATGGCTATGATCGAAGGAGTGAGTTTCACCCGAGACATATGGGGGGAAACACTGGAGGAAGAGGAAGTTTGGGTGGAGATGCAAGGATCGGAAAACAAAAGATGGTGATCTTTGAAGAAGAAGATGCACATGTGCGGTCGGGTGGAGTGCTACTTCCTAGTAAACGGGCTAACTGAGGAAGAGAAGCTCGTGGTGGCAGGATTATGTTTAGAGGGAAAAGCACTTGCGTGTTTCAATGGATAGAGGCAAGGTATCTGATGAATTCGTGGGAGTAGTTAAACGATTGATTGTTGGAGCATTTCCAAGCCAACCAAGAGGAAAGAGAGTTACACGAGTAATTTTATGCTCTGACTCAAGAAGAAATAGTCACGGAGTACAGAGAGAGGCTTAAGCTCTTGTCAATGTGGTTAAAGAGATGCCATACTAATATCCTCAGACGATACCAAATGGTGTCAATTCAAAAAGAGACGCCAAAGAAGAAAAATATAGGAACTCGTCCTGGGGGCAATTTCAAGCGCCTCACTGATGCAAAAGTGAAGGATAAAGAGCAAAGGGATTTTGTTCTGTTGTGATGAGAAATCTGCCCCAGACCACCGTTGCAAGGAGCTTTCCCTCCAGTTCCTTTTAGTTCAAGAAGAGGAGACGGAGGGTGAGGAATCGGAGGAGCATCAGCACTTGGATGTATCGGATGTGTCACTCAAGTCAATGGCAAGATTTAAACTGAATAACATAATAAAAGTGAGGGGTCGGATCGGGTAACAGCTGATTGTAGTGTTGGCGTATTGTGGTGCGACACATAACTTTATCTCAAATTAGTTCATGGATCAATTAGGGTTGGAGCTAGTGACTACAGGGAACAACGGCATCCTGATGGGCACAGGTAAGGTGGAGAAAGTCGAGGAATTTGCAAGAGGTTAGTTCTTACATTAGATGGCCTACAAATAGAGGACTTCCCATCCTTGGAATTGGGCAGCACAAATGTGATTCTAAGGATGAAGTGGCTACAGGCGATTGGGAAGATAAAAGTGAACTAGAAATCTCAGACGATTGAGTTCCAAGAGGAGGGTCAGAAAGTGATGCTGAGAGAAGATGTTGGCATATGTAAAACTAGGGCTGTCAAAAAGGTCGTTGTTCGGGAGCAACTCGTGTCGGAATTGTTAAGAAGCTCGTGTTCGACTAATACACTAAGTAAGCGAGCCGAGAACGAACAAAAATTTGTTAGTACGTGTTCAGCTCATTTTGGCTCAAAATGCTGGGTCATCCCAATCTAGTCTTACCTCTGGCTCTAGTTCTCAGTAGGGATTCAGCTAGCAGATTGGTAAGATGTTGACCATTACCCGTAGTAACCAAAGTATCATCCATAAGACTCCTAAGCTCTAGTAGATCTTCATTCTTCTTCTTCCTCCTGGAAGTGTAAACCTGTCATTCCTCCTCTGAAAAATCAGCCTAGTGGGGTAGATCTGAAGCAGAAGGAATACCAACAGTAGTACCCACAATAGGTTCTAGAATATGTGAAGCATGAGTTGCCTCTACACCGGATACTTCTTGAAGAAGTGGAGCTGCAAGGCTCTCCTGATTAACAGTCTGAACACTATCATTTATAGGTAATGGTCCATCAGTATTGTTTTTTATAGACTTTGTAGGTGCCAGCATCGCATCACTCACAGTAACTATATATATATATATATATATATATATATAGAGAGAGAGAGAGAGAGAGAGAAACCTAAAGGCAAGCTCAACAGTTTTTAAATCTTGTCGTGAACAGCTCGTGTTTGGCTCGCCAA